CTTTTCATTGGTGACATTAAAAGGAAATTTTCAATTAACACCATCTGCCCAGATGGCTGGTTTGATTCACTCATTGCTGTAGGGACATACAAATGGAAGATTGAGATCTAGCAGTAGATGAAATATGGACAGGGCTGATCACATTATCTTGACCTCAGTCTAGGATATCTCTGCCAGAAAGGAGCAGAGGCAGTTCACAGTCCAGCACTGGACTTGTTCTGCTGAACACATAGCCTCATGTCCAAGAAGAAAGTGATGTGTGACTGAGTAATGCAGCCTTTATTTGTTAAAATTGAAAGCCTTGTTTTTCCTTTAAGGCATGTTCAGTTTTGTGTGGGTGTTCAGGTACAGTTCAGCTTTGTTTTTCAGCTGTGTTAAAGGAATACTGAAACTAGTAGAGTTGTTTCAGTGGCCATTTACATTTGATCACTGTTGCATCAATTTCCTAACTCAGAAAGCATATATCCATGCATTGAATTTTTCCAGGTGTATATTACAGGTGCAGCAAAAAAAAATGAGGCCAAATGCCACTGATCTTCTACTGATAATTTTCTTCTTACTCAATGTTTGAGTGTATTTTGCATTGGTTTTGATTCAGTTCTAAACTTAGATAAGCAGAGTGGCTTTTGCATTAATAATCAGCTTTAGTCTTGTTTATTTCATTTCACATTATATTAAAATCCTTCTCAAACCCAAGGAAATATTTTCTTTTGTTAGCTGTATTTTAAGATTATGATTTGGCTATGTGATCTCCTCTTCCCAATCTGTGTTGTTTCTGGTCAGACTGTGTATATGTAGTTGTTCTACTGTTTGGTTTGTAATCAGTGTTTTGGGAATCTTTCCAACTTCAGAGGTTGACTTTCAGGTTTGTGATTTCCTGAATGATTTTTAAAAATTTTTTTTAACCCTTCCCCTCTCCTATCACTAAACTATTTAGTAGGGTTTGTGGAGTACTGGAAATTATGTTAAATTCTTCCCTGGAGTGTATCTCTTCAGGTGCTGTTTGTTTTGGGATTTTTTTTTTTTCTACTTAAATGGTACCTTTGTGGTACATAATCCCATTGGCACTTACAGGCATGACTACCTAGACTTTATATTCCACCCAGTCCTTGATGAGATGTGATGATAGGCAGAGGGGATGCAGTAAGTCAGTAGAAGGGTGAGAATTGGTTCCAAAAGGACCTATTCTTTTAACAATAGCTTGTTTACTCCTGTTTGCACAGCTAATGTGTGTGTATGTGTGCATGATAGGAAACTCCCCCAAATGGGCAGAGAAAATCAATAATATATCATTTTACTTACTAGAGCACAAGAAGGGCATGCAGGACGAAATAATGTTATTATTTCCCTTAACTCTTTGATGTTCACCATTCTTCATCTTGGCCTGAATTATGAAAGTGAATGATCTAAAGAGACTAATTAATTACTTTACCACAAAGGAAGCTGAGGGAAGCAGATTACAATTTTGATCTCTGTACAAAAAGGTTTGTGTGCTAGTTGAATTAGTCCCTTGAGTACCTTCTGGTTTGCAGTATGTCCAACAAAAGGGCACTTGTTTCCTTATGAAAACACTCTGTGCATACCAACCTTCCCCTGCCAGAACTGGAGGGCTATTCAAGCTGCTGATCAGCATTTCCCACTAGTGTTGGCATTTTCACCTAGAAATATCTAAATACTATAATGTAGCCCAGGTTTTTATTTTACATTGAAGTAAAGCAATGAATTGTCATACCTGTAAACCAACCAGACTTAAACATACTGAAATAATTTATAAGTGTTCAGCATACTATGTGTTATGCAGCATGACAAAGAGTGAAGATGAGCTTTATTGACACATAGCTGTATAGTAGATTGTCCTCTAAAGAAAATTGATGAACCAAATAATAGGCTTCCTCATCTCAGAATGGTAACAAAAGCAGGGAATTTGTATCAGGTGAAAGGTGTGATAATGTGCATCCCTTAAAAATACAAATTATTCTGTGGGTAACAAGAGAAGATGGGTTGTAGTGATGTCTCATCTTTCCTCCTGGGTTCTTCTCAGCGGTGGCACAGGTCCCCTCCCTCCCTCTGCTCTTTTCCTCTGTATTTTTTTTTAATACAAAGCCCATCCCTCCTGCAGGGTGCACAGGTCCCTCCATGCCATGTGGGCCATGGCTGGCTCTGAACCTTTATACCTCCTCCTCTCCCACTCTGTTCTTGCTGTGTGACATTAGTCTGATTCTCTCTGCTTTCCTTAAGGATGGATTTTCCACAAAACATTTTCACATCTAGTCTGTTGGGAGATGACTGAATTCAAACCTACAGGCTGCTTTTGAGCAAAGCATGGGATGGACATCACAAGCACGCTGCTGTTATACAAGTCTCCTTTTTCTTCAGCAATGCATTTAAAAGGATACTATGAATACTTTATTGGTCTTCTACCCCAAAAAATGTATTTTAGGGATTGGATTCTCACCAGTTTTTCTTGAGGGTTTAATGTATTTCAATCTTTGCCTTTCATCTCTTTAAACTTTGTGTTGTCCACTTTCCATCAGCCTCATCATGCATCAGGGTTGCATGAGTATTGTTGCTGCAACCATGTCTCTCATTCCTTAGCTGGTACCACTTTGTATGAGTACCACTACTATGAGTAGTAACACTGTGTTAATACAGAAACACAGGCTTAGTTATCCCTTTTTGAAAGAAGCAAATCAGTACCCCTTTTTGTCTACTATTTGCTGTTAATTATGTCTTTTGTTGACAGTGGTATTCTCATTCTATTATGCTGACTGACTCCCTAGCCCTATAGGGTGCTCTTTGCATCTCCTGGTTCTCCCCTAAAAGCTTTCACTGTGAAAATGCCTTGCACCCTTGCTTCCTTGTGCTCAGCCTTGCTAGAGGCTCTATGCCTTCACACTCTGTATTTTCTCTCTTCTCTCTTCTGGAACATGATATCTCTATGCACTTTCATAATTTTATTTTCCTTCCTAAGATACTTGAAGAGCTGGAAGAATTAAAATGAGAGGTGTTATTTCTTTCAAGACACTAACAGTGTCTTGTTTGTTCTGGAGGTAGTATTGTTGGTTGTTGAAACTAATAGTTCTGCCAGCTCTGGATGTCTGAGAATTTCTTCTCTTACCATATTTCCCCTTGGAGCTTTCCTAGTTCTTGTTGATTTCTTTTGTTCCTGGGAAAAATTTGGATAGAACAGGTGATATATTCTCTAGCTCCTGCCATGTCCTAGCAGAGACTCCATCGTGTTAAGTTTGCAACCTCATCCAAAAGTTGGAGAGCTGAGAGTGTTAAGGGGAAAGAGGGAGACTTCTGAATAGTATGTGTGAGCTGTTTTCATTTAAAACATGGTCAATGTTTCTCTTAAAAGTAGAGGTATAAAAAAGCAGTTGAAGCGATTGAATTTAATTTGAGAGAACTACACAAATCTTAATGGTTTTGGTATCCTATCTACAATCCTCCTGTGTTAGGCAGCTAACTGAATTCGGAAGTTAAATAACTTGTTGCAATCCACAGGAAGCAATAGTCTCATTTTGAATGATAATATGAGTTCCTGACTTTGTGTTCTACCCCAGCCAGTAAATCTGGCTATCTACAGCTCACTCTGTTCCAACATACAAATACTATTGAAGTATTGAGCAATGGTCTTCCTACTCTATTCTAGAAATGCTCTATCCTTGTCCCTTGTATAATATAAAACATTGCCTGAAATGTAGGTGGAAACATTAATATGTAAATAAATATATATAAAGATATGTAAATAAGTAAATATATATATATATTTTAAAAAAAGCATGGGATTTGAAGCTGGTCTGTCAAAATAAGGCTGATACATTTGGGTCCCCACATGACTAGAAATAACACTTTTGTGCTGGTTTTCTCACCTCTTTCTGATGCTGTTAGCAAGGTGGAGGAGGCCTTTGACAATGCATAGGAGCCAGGATGAGTGTCTTAGGTGTCTTGGGATATGTGTGTGTGGAGTGCATATCAACTCCTTAGCATTTACTTTAGTTGAAAAGGAAGGAGTTGTTAAATTTGATTTTTAAAACAGTAAGTGGCTGACATAATCAATATATGGACCACAGTGAATACTGGAGATTTTTGGAAACTGCTATTTCAAAGACACTTTGCACTTTTCTGTTTTAATTCTGTTTTTTCCTGAAACTGGGGTTAAATATTTTTGGTCATATGTAGTCATATGTTCTGGCTTTGTACTTGGGATTGTTTGTATTTGTAGTCATATGTAGAGAAAAAAAAAGGTAATATTTTTCTCATTGAAATGCAGAGTGAAGAAATTGAAAATTGCGGATTTCCTGAATTCTGTGTCCCACTTCCTTTATCTTTGACCTCTAAAGTACTCCCAGCACTGATCTTACTTGCCATGTCTTGAAGAGAGCACTGACAGTAACAGGAAGGCCTGACAATATTAACATAGCAGTTTAATTCAGAGATGGACAGAAATGCTTCCCTACTGAATAGCCTTCACAGGCATTTAGCACTCTAGTTTTCTTCTGAAATCTACAGTTCTGCATGGAGGGCAAAGAAATGTGAAGGAAAGTGTTTCTTTGAGTTAAGGAAATGTAGGGCTTTTTAATATGAAGGAGGAAAAAATCCTGGGACATTCCTCTCCCCCCAGGCCACAGACAATGCATAAACCATCATCTAGTACAGTATTTAGAAACTCAGTGCAGATCCAAAAAATTAAGATACTACCATTAAGATAAAAATCAAACTAATTGGACTAAATTTTTTATGATGCGAGTGTGTTTCTCCCTTTGTGGTATGGGGTTTTGGTTCTGTAAGGTTTTATTTTTCATAATTCTAAGTGTAGATTTGTATTTTAGTAGTGGTGTTCTCTTAGTTTTGTGTTGTAATCATCTTTTGTCAATTTTCTTTTTATGATGTGCCAAATAGAATAAAAGCATTTGTGGATAGTCTAAAATGTGTCAGTGCTAATTGTCAAACCAAAACTGACTATGGGCCTTTTTTATCTTTATCCTTCTTTTGAGAATAAAGACCAGTTTCTTCAAGATGAAGTTTCATCTTCAGTGTCACATCTTGCAACAAAGGTAAATACCCGTTCTTTGAAAATGTAACATTTAATATCATATATATATTTCAGTCCATGTATGTTAGAAAGTTGCCAGCATTTTGTGGACGGCTGATTAAGGAATTTATACAGTTCATTGATGATTTTATAATTATGTATGATCCTTGGTCATGGTGTTCTCTCATTGAAGTAATATTAGTACTGCAGGATTAGTTGGAAAGCTCCCTTATTTGCTTTCATTAGTGGGGAGGGGAAGGCATCCTGGTCTTTTTTCCTCCCAATGATGGCTATTAAAACACAAGATGAAAATAAGAAGCCACAGGAATTACTGAAGTCTAAAGAAGCTCTAAATTCTAGCTGCAACTGGCCATAAAAACATGAAGAGAAGAAGAGTTTGGGGTTGTTTATTCCATTATATGTCCACTGGCTCTCTGACCACAAGAGGTTAAGGATTTTACTTTGTATCTCTTTCAGGAAAGAGAAGTAGGCATGCAAGTTAAAATTTTTTACCTTGATATGTGTCCAAGAATCTTCTTTAATGTTCTTAAAATACATTAGTAGAAGATAAAAGAAATGGAAGTTATTATGATAAGCTAGACCTTGTTTTGAAATTCCATAGGTCTAAAGAAAAGTATTTTAAAATACATTCATTAGTGTAATAGGATACTTGACATTAATATGTATAAACTGAACATCTGTGTCTGTTGCTTCTTTTATTTCTGCTTCAGATGCAGCATGATTTTCCTTGAAAATAGAAGTCAGATTGTACTATACCTTTTTCTAATCTTTTGAAGAAGTATATTTTTTTTATGAAAACATAAATTACCATATATTTTATACCAAATGATAAATCTTTAGGGAGAGAATCTTAAAAAGAATCTATTTTCTATTGAAACGTTTTTTGCCCCTTTCTTAGTCATTCAGGAAGGCTTACTAAGTGTATGTTCTGACTTAAAAAACCAGAAATGTCACCTGATATACCACTGCAGTATTTTTGTCTTTTAAAGGAAAACCCTCTTGTCTTAAAAATGTATTCTCATGAAAGCACCTTATCCTTCCCATCTTCTCTTTGTAAAAGCAATTTTCTATTTTATTTAGTTGTTCCGTTGTCTTAGAGCAGTGTCAGTACAGTGATATTCCAGAAGTTCTAAATTTTAATATGTTAATAAAAGGCTGATGCATTGCATGTGTGGCCTTTCCAGTACACACATGCCATGAATAAAGTAGTCTCCACATTGCAACAATGTGGTGATGAGCAGCAGAATTCTTGAAGAAGAAGGTAGTGGATGAATAGTGTGTGTGCTCCTTGGGGAGACAGCCTTTCTGGCCTCTTAAAGCCTGAGTTTGAAGACAGTGTTGATGTTCATTTGCAGAGCAAAGATTGTGACCTAGGTTTGGAGGTCTAAAATTAGGAGCTAGTTCTAAAGGCTGCAGGTGGAACTTAGAAAGTGTTCTTAGATCCTGCTTTTGCAGGAAGCTGCCTACTGAGCACTGAGGACAGGCTGATTGCAGTGCTGAACTTTTCTGGTTCTCGCATCACAGCTCTCTTGAAAGGCAGGTATAGGTGGTTAAAAAACCTCGTGACATCTCCAAGTGAGGAACCATGAGGGCTCCAGTGGTGCTCTGCAAAATGCAGAAATCTGGAACCTGTGTTCACACTCTGCCTGGGCGTGTGAACTGGGGAGAGGAGTGACTGAGGGAGCTGGGAGTGTTTAGCTTGGACAAAAGGAGGCTCAGGGAGACCTTTACAACTACTTCTTCTCCCATTTAGCCAGCAATGGACAGCAGGAAATGGCCTCAAGCTGCATCAGGGGAGGTTCAGGTTGGACACAAAGAGGAATTTCTTCACTGAATGCATGGTTAGCATTGAAATGGGCTGGCCAGAGAGGTTGTGGAATCACCATTCCTGGAGGTGTTTGAGGAATGACTGGATGTGGCACTCAGTGCCATGGTCTGGTTGACCACCTGATGTTCAGTCACAGGTTGGACTCCATGATCTCAGAGGTCTTTTCCAACCTAAATGATTCTATGATTTGGCCTCTGAAAAACTTCAATCTTTGGAGGTCTCACTGCCATGCTCAGCTTCTGAATTAAAAGTATAGTAGAAACTTCATCTGCAGTTGTTTTTAGGCCAGATTTTGAAAAGAGACAAAGCTTTGAGAAACAAAATAGATCAAGAACCTTAATGCATGCAAATCCATGGAACCTGATGGGATACATTTGTAGGTCCTGAGGGAGCTGGTGGAGAAGTGGCTGAGCCACTATCCAGCATACTTGAAAAAGTATGGCAATCTGATGGAGTTCCCACTGACTGGAAAATGGAAAACATGACCTCCATTTCCAAAAAAGGAAATGAAGACAGGGAACTGCAGACCATTCAGTTTCATCTCAGGCATGGTCATGAAGCCAATCCTCTTGGAAACTCTACTAAGGCTATTGAAAAATAAGGAGAGAATTGGTGACAGCCAACATGGCTTCATTAAGGGCAAATCATGCCTTTAAATTTGATGACCTTCTACAGCAGTATTACAGCATTGGTGATGAATGAGGAGCGACTGATGTCATCTATGTGGACTTGTGCAAAGAATTTGCACAACATCCATGTCTTTAAACTGGAGAGATGTGGATTTGACAGATGGATCATCCAGTAGATAAGAAATTGGCTGTATGGTCACATGCAAAGAATTAGGGCCAGTGGATTGATGTCTGAGTGGAGGCCAGTGACAAGCGACATTCCTGAGGGGTTGGGGATGGGACCAGGCCTGGCACCATCATTGCTGGGGACAGGGACAGTGGCATTGAGTGCACCCTCTGCAAGCTGGTGGATGGCACCAAACTGTGTGATGCTGTCAGCAAGCTGGAGGGAAGGGATGCCATCCAGAGGGACCTTGGCAGGACAGAGGTGGGCCTGTGTGAACTTCATAAAGTTCAACGAGGCAAAGTGCCAGGTCCTGCAGCTGGCTCGTGGCAGTCCCAAACACAAGTACAGGATGGGTGGAGAATGGATTGAGAACAGCCCTGCTGAGAAGGATTCGAGGGTGCTGGTACACAGCAAGAACTGTTGGTCTGCACATCAGAAGCTGGCTTGGGAAAATCTCCACCACCACCAATGCTTTAATATCTGTAAGACAAATTTGGTGGAGAGTTGGTTTTTAAATTTTGGTTTCTGTTTTCTTGCTCGTTTTGAAGAGGTTTCCTGTCATGTGGGAAGAATGCTTCTTTAATTAAAGCTGATTGGCATTTTTATAACTGTAAAACACTTAATTGTAACTTTATTGAACTGTAGGGTACTTATATGGAAAATTATATCTCTAGCTTTTTATTTTAGTTTCTTTTTTTTTTAGGGGAGGAGTGAGGGAAACTGTGGAACAAACAATTATTTCTTCTCAGTCAAGGTCAAGAGGAAAATCCATTCTTTTTGTTTATATTTATAAAAAATGTCTGCAAGTGTTTTGTGAAGTGCCTCTACTTAACTGGAGAATTTTGATTTACCAGTTGTCAGTCCTCTGTGAAAATACTTGTGAAGGTCTGCTGAAACATGGTCCAAATATAAATTTCTGGAAATCTCATTTCATACATACTGAGCAGTGCCTTTTAAGGGATTAGCTGCTTAACTACACAATGGTATTGAAAGTGCTGGTTCTCACTGCAGGTGTACAGCAAGAATGCCCTGTAATTGCTCATTTTGCTTGCTAAGACTGTCATGTGGCTTGTTCTAGCCTGCAGAGAGTGATTTCTGTGCTCCAGAGCCCTGCTGGCCTGGCAGTCTGGAAGTAGAAGAGTCTAACAGGAGTATTCTGAAAGTACCAGTACCCACTCCTAATGCAGTCAGGGTAAATTCAAACATACTCGAATCTCTTGCTTTGTAAACTGCTTGTCTTGTACCTCTAACTCTGTGACCCACAGCTCATTATTATTCTTTGACTTGATTGAGTTCTGTGCTTTTTTATCTCTCTCATTATAAGATGTTAGCCTATATTAACCACATCCATCTGATGCACAAGTTTACCTGTTTTCAGTTAAATTTACACCATCTTCCTCTTTAGTATATATCCATCTGTATCTGCGTACTTTTTTTTGGATGCAATAAACTTTTGAAATTTGCTTTAATACTGAACTACTTTAGTTTATACCCAGCTGTTAGTATTCCTGGTTTGTTGCCTTTTACCCAATATTTCATGAGCCTTCTTGCCCTCTAGCAGAGCTCTAATTATCAACTGCTTACCTTTGACAGTAAAATTAACTGAAAAGTCTTCCTGGTGATGCTTTACTGTTTCCCAGTAGTCTCTTTGATTGTTCATTTTCTTGTTTACCTTTTATTACCTATTGTCTTTGCCTGTTTATCTATTATGGGAAGACAGTCATGTAAACATCAGAGTTTGTTGATGTGGTGAAAAAGGGTGTCCTTAAGGTAATTTTTAGTAATAATACCTATTAATATTGTAGGAGACTTTCATTTTTGATCCATTCTGGGGCGTTTTATAAAGTTAACGATCAGTAGACATTTGTTCCCTGTTTTATCTAAAGAAAGAAAGATTGCAGTCGATGTAAACAATTTGTATACAGTTATTTCACTTGAATCAATACAGGTAACAGCTGAAGTCTTACTATGAAGGTTGAGAGCAGAGTGGAGCTTAGGGTTTGGGGAGAGCCATAATGTATGTACAAAACTCTGATTATGGAAGAAAACTGATAGATGACTGCAATTTTCAGAGGATGCTTCAGATGTTATGATAGTTGCTGCTACAAAAAAGGTGCTGTTGCCCCTAAATTCCATGTGCTTTATCTTTAATTAATTGATTCTTAGCACTAAACTAAAAGAATGCTAGAAATGAGGGAGTTAGATTTCTGCTGGCTTAAGTAGTTGAAGCAGTTTTCCACAGCATCACACAGGTACAAAACCATAGCATAAGGAAGGCAATATCAGTGAGCAGGCAGTGGCCTGGGCTGACCCTTTTCAGCAGCAGTATCTGATAAAGCAGATCTGATAAAGCAGGTCTGCCTCTGTGATCCCCTCTCTCTGGGGATCTGTCTGACAGATGGGCACTGATCCTGAGGTCCTGGCAAAGCAGAGGGAAGAGGAGGGAGCAGGAGAAACAGCAGACAGCTTGACCAGGGACACAGACCACATCCTTTGCATGATGTTCTAGGAGGGACTGCTTGTACTCCCACTTTCACAAGATACACTAATTAGATGGCAGCTCTCTCATGGTGGAAAAAAAGTACTTCATAAGCTAGAAGGAGCTAAAGGAAAAGAATCTGTGCTCTGGTCTTGAGCTCTTAAGATACCAGTTGGAGCAAACCATGAGGGCTTTTCAATAGTTTGCCAGTTGATGGATTAATATGTATGTTTAATTCACTTTTTACTGATTCTTTTAGGTGATTGCACAGGACATTGCTGGACAGGTTTTCCCAGCCTAAAGTGGAAGATACAGAAGAAAATTTATTAATTGCTGTCATAGTCAAACTACTATGAGACTAACCTGTATTTCTACTTCAGAGAATACTGAAATAGCTTCTTGAGAAGTTCCTGCTTTGTTTCTCATTGAGATTTTTGAAAAATAGTAGACTGCAGCATCCAACATGGCCCTCTAATTGTAACATCTCATGTTACAGTTCAGTTGTAGTCAGCAATAGTGCTTTCTTCCTTAATAAAGGTCCCCCCTTTTTTTTTTTAGCTGTCTCATGACCATTTCACTGATTTTTTTTTTTAAACTTGGAGTGTATGCCTGGTTCTATCAGCCAGCTTTGATTTTCAAAGATCACCTAGTTCAAGCTCAAGCCCAACCCATCAGGCAGAGAAAGAAGCAAAGGTGGCAGGAGGCATTAATTTTTATCCTTGAAAAACCTCAACCATTAAAGGAGGCATTCTAGGGGTGGAACCAAGGTCAAGTGACCTGAGGGGAATATAGATACACTCTTTGAGTATGCAGGAATGGGGTTGGGAAGGATTAAACCCACTAGAGGGGATTTAATCTGGTGAGCAACAAGAAAGGTTTTTCTGCTTGTACACCAGCAGCAGAGAGTGTGAAGAAGATGGAGCCTGACTGTTCTCAGGGTGCTCAGGGAATGGGCATGAGGCAATGGGCACAAACTGAAATAGAAAAAATATAATCTAAAAATAAGAAAAAATGTTTTCACCATGAGGATGTTCAAGCCAAGGAACAGGTTTCTGGGGAGGTTGTGGATTCTCCAGCTGTGGAGATACTCAAAACCTGGCTGTCCATGATCCTTAGCAATCTGCTGAGGGTGACCCTGCTTTGAGCAGTGGGCTTGGACTAGATGGTCTCCAGAGATCCTTTCCAGCTGTAAAGGATGGAATTTCTGTGAATTCTGGATGTTGAATTATTTTGTGTTCCAATGACACAGGGAAAAGTAGTTTAAAGATTAGAGAATATAATCAAGTCAGTTACATTTATAAACCTCCTAGGAAATTTTAGAAGCAGTACTTTTGTGTAGAGAGTTGCATCATAAAAGTGAAATACTGAGCTTCTGCCAGTGGATTGATGCTTTAAGCCCATATCAGTACTATGTTTTCATACTTTGCATAACTTTAATAGTTTTACATAAAACAAGTCTCCAATGTGGTGAGGAGTCTGCTTACTGAAGTGTTATCTTTACTTACTGACCTTCCTTTGACATCCATTGCCAGGAAGCTAATTGTTCTGGGATATGGGTCTTTCTCCAGGTGCTCTGTGAGGTTGTAGGTGATTCCCAACTGATTTAGGTTCTGGCAATCTGTGACTGGCAAAAGGAGATGGTGTTCAGAGAGAGCATAACATGGCTGGTGTGTAGGGCCTCTTCCCCTAACATCAAGAATCATTGGCTTGAGGTATTAGAGGGTGCACCCCTTTAAATAGGGGGTATTCATATATGGATCTCCTGTCTGAATTGGTCTAATTTTTCTTGTGATGGTTACCAGCCCTTTTTGGCTATACAGCTGCTGCATGTCAAACTGATGGTTGGAGGGAAAGGGGACTCCAAGATCTCCTTCCTGAGCTGTGCCTCTCAGTTGTAACTGTTCCAGCTGCACTCCTCAGTTGGTTAAAAGTGTTTAAAGAATTGTGAAAAGAAACATGGAAATGCAGCAGGCTGTTCTGAGGAATTTTGTTATTATGTGTCAGCTACATGACAGCAGCAGTCAAAAAACAAGATTGTTGCCTTAAAAACAGTTCAGTAGTTACAAAACAGCTTCTGGAGTGTGAAATGTGTATTTGACCACCTCCTCCACTAAGGTTTCAGTTCAGGAGTGTGCTGCCACTGACAGTCAGGAGTGAGCTGTTCGCTCCTGGTCGGTGCAGTGCAAAGATGGTGCAGCAGATCGGTGCCAGTGCAGGCAGGTGCAGAAGAGGAGGCTTAGGCATGGTAGGCAGAGGTTCTGGTTTCACTCTTGCAATTCCTGGTTCTTTCAGCCTAGTCTGTTTGATATGTAGTAGGCTTTGTGCAGTGAGTTATAGCACATATTGGCAAAATTTACTTGGACATTGGTGTTCTTATGCAGATTATCCTGAGAGTATTTCCTTTGGAAACCCTTAATAAGTAGTGGAAGTGTATCTTAAATGTTTAGCATGCATTTCTCCTAAGGACTAGTTGAGAGAAGGAATAAATCAGTGACAGTCTGGGTATTAGCCTTGTATGTACCTACCAAATACCATGGACATGAAAATATGGAAGGAATGATGCAATGTGTACATAGACAATGATTTACATACAGGTAGAAAGAGTGCAGAGCTTGTAAAAGTTTATCCAAAGACCTATGCATAGAAATTTTCTCATTATTGTTCTTAAAGATATCTGTGAATCAGAACTGGAAAAACTAAATTAAATTTTAAAAAAAAATCTAAAACTAAAAAGTATGGAAAGCTTCTGGGGTTTTTTGGGGAGTTTTTTTTTGTTTTGGTTTGTTTTTTTTTTTTTTTTTTTTGAGGAGGATTGCTTGGGTATCCAGACAGTGCAGCAAAGGTTGGGATTGCATTGGCAAAGTATGTGTGATGTTCTAGATTAAAGAAGGTGTATGTACAGGTATATCCTTTTTGTTACATTGAATGTATGTGTATAAATGCTTGTCTCCAAGCATTTAATCAGTGTTGTTCTTTAAAGGTACATATAATTTAAATGAAGCCTCTTCTATGTCCTAAATTGCTCTCTGAAAACTAGGAACAAGGTTCTATTTTTTCATAATCAGCAAATTTATTAGATGGAAATGACTCGATGAAGCATCATTTTTGAAAGAAGGCAGCTTATCTATGAATTGCATCATCCAGTTTAAAGGGGAAAAGAGTCTTTAAGTGCAGCTTGTAGCTGTGTTTTTGCCTTTGGTAGCAAAGGTTCCTTACCCAAAAGGCCTGAAATAATAGAATTTTAGTAAGATAACAGATGATGGAGTCATGGAATGGTTTAGGTTGGGTGAGACCTTAAAGATCATCCAGTTCCAACCCTCTGGCCATGGCCAGGGACACCTTCCACTAGACATGATTGCTCAAAGTCCCATCCAACCTGGCCTTGAACCATTACAGGGATGAAGCATCCACAACTTCTCTGGGCAACCTGTTCCAGTGCCTCACCACCCTCAAAGTAAAGAATTTCTTCCTAATGTTTAATCTAAACCTACCCTCCTTCATCTTAAGGCCATTCCCTCTTGTCCTATTGCTACATGCCCTTGCCAAAACCTCCTGCTTGTCTTGACAGCTGTGGTTTTGTTTTGATTTTTATACTTCATAATGTATCATATTTTTTAATAGAGTTAAGTAACCCTGAGAGACTGTCACTGCTGTTCTTACTGTATCTTGGGAAGAAGAACATCAACTTTCATGTTCTGTGCTTGGCACACAGTGTGTGTTTCTGTGAGCATGCTATCAAAGTAAAAATAACCCATACCTAGTCATTTCACCTTGAGGGAGGGAGAATCAAACCTTTAATAAAGTTTAAAAAGCAATTTATGCTGTATGCTTAATGGTCACAGTAAATTTAGAGAACACACTGTAGTGCACATGGCACTGGTGAGCCAATGCTCTTACCCTTCTTGCTTGCAGGGCAGGAAGTTGTAGTTTGGTGATCACAGAGAGGGACAATATGTGTAAAGCAGGTTAAATCTAAAGAGTTTCATAGTGTATGTGGCTGTCCTGTCTGTCGACTCTTTCTAGACATGACAGTTTGTTTCATTTCTTGTCTGCTGGAGCCCTTTAGACTGTCTTTAAAGCTGCCTAGATTCTCCTCTTACTGTGCTACATTAAAATGGAGCCCAGCTGTACTCGATGGCATCACAGAGCCACGGAGGATTTGTATAGTTTGCTCAGCAAGGGAGAGCTCTTGCTGCAGTCACCAGACCAGCTCTTTTCCCAGGCATGGCCATCCCCTGCAGCTCCAGTGGCACCACGTGCAGGGCCACAGCCACTGCTGCCTGCCAGCCCCAGTGTCAGCAGTGGCAGCCCCACTCTGTGCCTGCCAGTCTGGCACCCACACTGAGGAGGATTTGCTTCTCTCTGTAGGTTCAAGGTGCAAGTTTCCGGGGCTGGAAGGAAGTGACCTCTATGTTCAATAAAGACGATGAACAGCAATTGCTAGCAGGATGCAAGTCTCCAAAATCCAAAGGGTGAGTAAAGCCATTTGGTCTATCTGCTATTAAAATGCTATTAAAACACAGAAAATAGCTGTGCAAATTAATGGAGCTGGATGCTGAGGAACAGCAGTGCCCAACTGCTGGAAGTCAAATTGACACAGGAAGTTTTGTGGGCAAAGCTATATATACATTAAGCTTACAATGAATAAGGCACGCTGTATTAGGAAAGGACAGATGATGTTTTAAACATTTTTAGGCTTGTAGGGAAGAAAAAGGAATTTGGCTGCCTAATAATTTTCTTACTGTAGAAAAGTAGTAAAGGGTTGTAAGTAAAAGGGTCATTCTCACATTTTCACTATCCTCTTAGAGATTAATTATGATAGAGTTTACAAATTCCCTTTTTTACATGCCTTACTCTCTCTTTTGAAGTCTTACTACACCTAGAAAGGTTAAGTGGAGTAGCTGTACTAGGATGTGGAAGTCTTCCCTGTTGGCACTGAGCTGTTTTGGCACAGCTGTGTGCTGGTATGGTGAGGGCAGCTCCCTGGACAGCACACGCTTCCAGGACAGACCATCTTCCTGTTACAAGTGTGTGCAGGCTTCACCTGCACGTGCTGCCTCACTGCCTTGGTTACAAACCAAATATACCACATAGCAGTGGATCTGTTCCTGCCAAATATTAGCTTTGATAAGCTAATATCAAAATGGCTGATTTGCTGTAGCAGGCTTTGTCTCCAGTTAACTTTGAAATAAGTGTGTTTCAGGATGCAACACCACGTATCTGCATATAGGGACTGTATGTGTATAAATAAACAATTTAGAATATAAATCCATATATTTTATTTCCATTTGAGCCTCTTCCATAAAACTTCCCAAAAGTTGCCAGCCACCAACCCATGAGCCATCTTATGGGTGTTATTAAGATGCTAGGCTACTGTAATAATGCTTTGCAATTGATGCTGACTGTAAGAACCAGGTAATACAGTGAAGACAGCAGAAGTATGATAACAGAGTTACCACCAATGTAGAAAGCTATTTTGGTATTACTATGAGAACTTCCTGGTTTTTAAGTTCAGGATATTCTTCCTTAATTATATACCACGATTTTTACTTCACTTTTAAAGACACATGCAACTTTTAAGTGTGCTATTTACAAAATACAGGAAAAGTGTTTGGAGTCTGTGTCTGGTTTTAGCAAAATGAAATTTCTGAGGAATCATAAATTCAAAATCCAGAAAAGAAAAAGTGATTTTTAAAGGTATTGGTTGAGTTGCTTCTGTTTAAATATGATAGAACTAAGCTTTCATTAATGGAACAAAGGTTTTTTAATAGAAATGTTTAAAAGAGATTCAATGGTGAGTTTAGTTGTGGCTAGTTGTATGCTACTACAGATAATGTTTTCAATTTGCTTTTTAGCTCATTGAACCCTCAAGGTTGTGTCTTTCACCCCTGGTGTTCAATCTTTCCTTGTGGCCCATTATTTGATTATATACATAATCCTGCATATAAAGTTATGCATAACTATTTGACACTCTGTAATTCAAATATTTCACACTGCAAAATTATTCAGGTTGAAGATTCTTAAGGGGATAAGAAAAGTAATAATATGAGTAGCCTTTCAAATGTCTGAGAGAGAAGTTCCAGTTATTTTTTCGGTTTGGGAGGGGCATTTTGAGAGATCTTACCAGAAATACAAAACAGCTGTTATCACATTATTGTGTGGATTTTTATGAAAGTTTTAATAAAAAAGCTTGGTATCTTTTAAGTCTTAATTCTGTGTACATCAACTATTTTGAGGTATAGGGTTTAACTGGTAAGGTGGTAGCAGGTTTATGAAACTGAGGAACACGGTGAGTGTTCAAGCTGGTGTTAGAACATTTTCAAATCCTTTCTACTATTGTAGTCCTAGGTTTTTTAAAATTTGGTTTTGTTTTTTGTTGTTTTTTTTGTTAAAGTCCTAAATTGTTCAAATGCATCCTAAAATCCTTCATACATTTCCAAAGGCAGCTCTGTGGAGTTCACCCCACAGGAATGGGGTGGGGATGGTGATGTGTCAATTCTCTTGTAATAGAAAATGACCATTCTCAGTCCTCTTCTGATTTATCACTGCAGGATTCAGCTGTGTTTAGGTTTTTGTGTATGTGAGGGTGTTTTTCCTGAAGCTGACAGCAATGGATGTGCTGCCACAGGCTGACAATGATTAGCATTCCTTACTGTAAAACATAATTTAATTGAATGTTTATTAATAACTACTACATACATTCTTAAATGAAGGAATTAATCATGACATCATTGTTATTTTCTAGAACAAACCTAAAACTAAAGGAAGAGATGAAGTCTGAAAAGAAGCCAGGTTTTTGGGACAGTTTGGTGATAAAGCAGAATGTTCCATCTAGGAAACCAGATGAGATTGAGGGATGGGAACCACCACAGATTACCACTGCTGACTCTACCAGTGATGCAGCAACTCCTTTAAGTGACTATACAGCCTGGTCAGGCTGGGAAGATGAAACCAAAGGCTCCACAAAATACACAAACCTGGCCAGCTCAGGAAACAGCTCCAGGTGGAGTATCAAATCAGCTGGAAAGCTGGTTAGTATTAGACGTCAAAGCAAAGGTAACCTGACTGACAACTGGGAAGAACTAGAATGATACTGGTAATACTGGTGAAATACTTTATACATAAGAAGAGAACAGTTCCATGATTTACTCACATGTTTAAACCAAAATCAAATCTGCTCAATATTGCACCTTTATACAGTAATTTGTTTTATTCAGATTGTTACAAATTTTTGCTCACCTGATAGTAAATTTTCTTATTACATTGTTAATAGCTATGTTTTCCACACTGAAAAAAAGTAGAGAATCTATTTTGTGCCTATATTTCACATTCAGACTTTGCAGTATGTCAGATTGTTGGTTTTACCAAAAAAAAATGTAATTCCTTAGTGAATGTATACACTGGTTGTAAATTTGACTGCCTTATGAAGGAACTGCCACTAGCTTGAGGTCCTACTTCTGGTATTCGAGGGCCATTCAAAATTTTAGTTTTGATGCTGTCCCTTTTAAACTAAGAATACCAATCTGTGGCTTGCAGGGAGAGTGCTTGTACTTAGTACTGTTTTCCAAATCTTCAGCCTCAGCTTATGCTTCAGCTTGTGCATACAAGATGCTTAGTGTCACATTGTGCTGTACTCTGTGGGACATGGGAAAATAATGTTCTAAAGTAATTCCTTCCATTACAGGATTGTCACCAACAGTCAGGCTCTTCCAGAGTTGGGGTGTTTTTTGTGTTTTGATTTTTTCCCTGCTTTTTTGGTTGTTGTTTTTTGGTGGATTTTGTGGATTTTTTTTTGTTTTTTTTTTTTTCTTTTCTTTTCTTTTGGTGTTTTTTGGTTTTGTTTTTTTTTTGGTTGGTCACTATTTTTTTTTAATATTGAACTTCTTTTGACAAAGCTAAGTTTCTCAGTTTGTAAGATGCATGCTATGCCAAAAATAGAAATTACTGAAAATTTGGAAAACAGGACTGAGTAAACTGTAAGATGATGTCAGAATTCTGGAGGAATATTGAATCTGGATGTAAGAATAAGTTGCTTCTTATGGAAGGGCATATGTTTGCATTTTTTTACAATAGCTGATCCTTGTTTTACAAACAAGATTTTTGGTTTTGGCTGTGTTTTTCCTTCCTTCCTTCCTTCCCACTGCATAAGCAATGATTGAATTATACTCCAGCATTTTCAGGGTAGCTGAGTAACTGAGCCATTGCAAGTATGTGCATGCACACAACATTTTTGTTGAAAAGTTCCATCTTATTAGCTACTGATACTTTGAGTTTTTGGTAAAAGAAGGTGAAATGTTAAACTTGAGATTTGAAATTATATATGACTAATAAAAGTGCCTCTTTTTAGCATATTGTCTGTCACTAGTGATGCAGCTGATGTCAGATCTAAAGTCAGTTTCTGTTTTGTTTATATGACCCACACAAAGATTACTTTAACATCCATGAATAAAAATCAAACCAAAAGTTTCATAAGAAATGAACAGTAGGCCTTTTCTCTCCTGATTGTTAAACTGGTGTAACAGAACTGAAACTTGACTGTCTAGCAATATGGCCAGTGCAGTCAGAAGATGAAGCTAGCATGTCAGAGAAAATCAGCATTTTTACAAGAGAGTATAGACCTTTCTATAACAGATGTCTTGTAAACATATTTTTGCAAGAAGCTTATGCTGATGAAAAGGGATGCATGCAATTTTTTTCTAAGCTTGTTTCTGTTACTGCCACATTACTCCTCCCTTAGCTCTCTTTCTCTCCTCCTCCAATTCATGTGTAGTTTTCTGGCTTGCAGTTCCTGCATAGCTATTTTTTGGAGATTCCTGCTGAGATGTGCCTGGAGGGAAACTGTAGCAAAATGGTTTTAGTAGTTTGGGGTTTTTTCGTAATATTGATAGGATGCTAAAAGACATTGTTCTGAGGTTTACCAAAAAGAATGGTGATGTTTTATGCTACAAAACAGAATCTTAAAACTGGCAAATATATTTGTAAAATTTGCATTAGATATTAAAAAGTATTCATAGGGGAGAAAAGGTTAGCATTTATATTGCATTGTTTGGTCTGTGAGTAAACTCTATTTTTGCCTTGGACAAATATGTATGCTGAGATTAATTATAGGAAAGAATTAGTATTCTTGGGTGTAGTATGCTGCATTTTATAGTTTATGGAATACCCTCTAAGGCATGAGCTAGTATTTAATTTGGTTGTTGGTGCTGATCTAAAGGAACAGAAAAAGATCTGTTAGCAGCCCTTAATATTCTCAAAGATGGGCTGAGGACTTTTAATTTCACTCCTGAAGAAACTATTTATACTGTGACTAGTAAGGGTTTTGCCTTGCACATTATACTGTCAAGTGCCTGTTTCTCACCTTGATGATGTGTTTGATGCACAGCTTAACTGCAACCTTTTTCAATTTGTTTTTAGATGTATGATAAAGAATATGCTCACAAATATGAAGCCTATTATAAAACAAAAGTGGGAAATTGAGATATGTAAAATTCCAGTTTCACTCCTAGTGATGAAAGTTTTGGTGTGCTTTTTAAGTGATATTTCCTCAGAAATAACCATTTTAAGGATCAACATTATTAAATTTAATATAATTTATTGTTATGCTTTAATAATGTATTTGTCTGTTGAGAACTCACTGGTGTGAGCTTTCCTTCTCTCATGTTTATAAATGTGTCTGAATTTTCAGAATGGGGTCCTTTCATCTTTTACCTTTGTTAGATGCTTAACTACATTAAATGTTATGAGCTTAAGCTATACACAGCTCCATATGTGGAATAAGTGTAGAATATGTCCTTAATATTTGTTTTGAAATTGCATTTCAATCTATGTGAAATGTTTTAGAAGAAGGTAGCATTAAGATGGTATGATAAGATTGCACAAAATAAAATATAGTTTATATTGCTTTCTCGTAGCCAATCTGCATGATTGTTGGCGTGGTTTTAACGGGAATTAAAAGCTTTGTGTGGCTGTTACTAGTCACTTAGCTCTGAGCAAAGTCCTTTCTGAGTATTTTTATTTATTAGCATCATTTGCAAAAAGAAAAGTAGTATTTTCCATATGAATAAAGATTTAGTTTGAACTGAAACGCCTTATTCTTTGACTATTTTTTTCCAGTAGAATTTGTCATGTGAATATGTTTACATTCACTTGGACAGGTTTGGCCACCTCAATATAAGATAATTAAACTATTAGAGAGTTTAATTAGTGTCCAAAGGAGGGCAACAAAGATGGGGGGAAGCTTCCCTTGAGGGGAAGCTGCGTGAGGAGCAGCTGAGGTCACTTGGTCTGTTCAGCCTGGAGCAGACTGAGGGGAGACCTCACTGCAGCTACAACTTCCTTGTGAGGGGAAGAGGAGGGGCAGACACTGATCTCTGCTCTGTGGTCACCAGTGACAGGATCCAAGGGAATGGCCTGAAGCTGTGTCAGGGGAGGTTTAGGTTGGATATCAGGAAAAGGTTCTTCACCCAGAGGGTGTTTGGGCACTGGAACAGCTCTCCAGGGAAGCAGTCACAGCACCAAGCCTGACAGAGCTCAAGATGGGTTTGGACAATGCTCTTGGACACTGGTGTGACTCTTGGGGATGGTTCTGGGCAGGGACAGGAGTTGGACTCAGATCCTTGTGGGTCCCTTCCAACTCAGCTGATTCTGTGATGTTACTTCCACCATTGTAGAGTATGGCCAAGGAAGGGATAGCAATGTTTGACCAAACTCTGTGAATCTCAGAACTTGCAGCATCCTAGATTTAAAGCATCACACACTGCTTTTACAGTGGCAAGAATTCATTGGTTTCTAAACTAAAAATAATTTGGTGTTTTTTGGTTTAAAATATTGTGGGGTTTTTTGGTTTTTGGTTTTGGTTTTTTTTTTTGTTTTTTTTTTTTAACTTATTTGCTGTTGTGAAAGCTTGGGCAGAGCAGCATTCTTTCCCTGAAGATTTCTCAGCTACATGTAGAGTGGAGGACCTGAAATGCTTTTGCCTACACTGGCCCCCAACAAAGTGACACCTGCAGGGTCTGGCCTATGACACGTGAGGAGCAGCCACTGCTTCCAGTGGAGCAGCTGCAGAGGGAACTTTATTGTCAGTCTCCCATTCTTCTACTCCTGTCTGCTGGCACTGTGGTTGTCTACACAGACTGAGCAGGGAACATTTAGGCAAAATATTTCTTGCCATAATGTATGAAGTAACTAAATCAGAAAATCTCATTCATACAAATTATACTCTTAGTGGGGAGCAAAAAGACTGCATTGACACACCTCTGACTAGACACAGGGGGCAGGTGCACAGCTAGGCAGGTGGAAGGAAGTGGAAGGACCTGCATTTCCAGAGCTGAGCAGACAAGAACCCTGTCCAATTTTGAGCATAGATGTTCCTATAGCCTGGCATCTGTCTCAATTTCTGAAACTTATCAAAATGCTTGTTACTGTATGACAAAACTGTAGGTTTTGTGCAATCTGAAAGCATGAATGTGCATGTTATATAGCTGTTTCATGCATATCCAAACTGTTTGTGCTAATTTGCAGGGGTTTGTTTGATCCTTTCCTCTGAGTGCCTGCTACTTTGTTTCTGATGTGTCTGGGAAATAAAATCAGTACTGTGAAGAGGAAAAGTAATTTCCTAGAAGGCTTATCACCAGCAACAGTTGGCAAAGGTGTGTATCATTAGATACTGTCAGTCTCAAAAATTTCTTGTAGCATGACTGATTTGTACCAAATAAGACAGGGAATCAAACATACAGGCAAAAAAAAGCCAGTTTAGAAATCAAAAGGAGAGAATTACATTTAAGTGCCATCAGCATCATTGTGGAGCCTTCCTGTTCTGAGGAGGCTGTAATGCTACACATCATAGCAGAAAGTAATGCTGCTTCTGTAGTTACAAAGAAATAAAGAGTATGAAAACAATAAAAATAGGAATATAAATAATAGGAATTTATATTAAATATATAATTGTAAACAAGGTGTAGGGAGATAATGGTTTTTCACATGGTATCTACTGACTGTTATCACTGCTATTGAAAAAAGAAATACCTACTCTGCACTTGGGAAGAAATTTTTCCTATTCTGTGTCCAGCAATTACTAAAAGGTGCAAGACAGTAAGAATATTCTTTTCAAGGCCATAACAATCTGGTAAAAGCTTGGCTGGCATTAAAGTTTTTATGCTCTTGAGACCCAAATAACACTACTAGAAGCTTTATGACACATTTTGAACTGTGAGTTTCCTATTGGAAACGAAAAAGGATTATTCTTTGCATAGAAAAGTGCACAGCTGTGTTTTCTGAGATTTGTTTGTCCACTTCTGAAAGTAATCATGTGATATTTTGCTTT